GGCGGCTGCACATGCATCTGCTCCAATTAGCTCAGTGGATGGACGAAAAGATGCTAAAAAACCAAAGACTTACATCGCTGCAGCCATCGCCGCCTGCGCTCTCACCGCCACCAACGTCGCCGCTGACGGAGCCACTGGCGCAGATTGACAAACCGAAAGAATAACGTTAGCATTAGCCCGCTCAAAAAAACATCATCCGCTTCTCCACTTCTTCTACTAACCAACTCAATAATAAAGACTTACATCGCTGCTGCCATCGCCGCCTGCGCTCTCACCGCCACCAACGTCGCCGCTGACGGAGCCACTGGCGCAGATTTACAAACCGAAAGAATAACGTTAGCATTAGCCCGCTCAAAAAACCATCATCTGCTTCTCCACTTCTTCTACTAACCAACTCAATAATAAAGACTTACATCGCTGCTGCCATCGCCGCCTGCGCTCTCACCGCCACCAACGTCGCCGCTGACGGAGCCACTGGCGCAGATTGACAAACCGAAAGAATAACGTCTTTTTGCTTTTTCCAGTCTAATCACATACTAAGTACGATATTTTGGATGTTGTCCGAACGTTGACCCATTTACGTTACGCTCACGCAATTAATCTGTCCATTACTCATTCTGAGGTATTCCCAGTATGATGATAGCCTCAAACTCACGTTTTACGATGAAATATGTGCATCCTTATCTATTTAGATACTTTTCAGTTGGTGCTCCTGCTCAAATTCCGTATAATAGCACTGGCCATCTCCGATGGGGTGTTGCAAATGGAACTCTATGCTACATGTTTTCTCTCGGTTGAGATTCACTGAATCAAGCTCAAGAAGCCCGTGCAGCAATCGAAAAACGAGGTAAAAATACAGGCGACGTATTGTGGATATCCCAAATCCACCTGGGTATATTAACGTTGTTCTAGTAAAAACCGATAAATCCGACATCAGTGGGGAAAGATGGCCACTTGAAGTGAATCTTGAGACGGAAATGATACTGTACCATGATGGACGCTATCGCAGCAAACGGTGACACAAGTTGCGTCAAATTATCCCATATTGGCTCCATGGTCGACCGACAGTACAATTATATCTTGTACGCCGTGAATTTAGCGTTTGTTCAAAACATTTGGCAGGCCCAGCTGGGCCGTGTAAGCGTGTAGCTTTCTTACACGAAGGATCACAGCCGAAGTTAGTTTGGGCTTTTAAACATTTATACGCTGAAGCTACACGCGTCCAAGCTACAGAAGGACTTCGCTGTATGCCCCTTACCATTTCATATCGCCGTGACAAATTCCTAAATTTACATTCCAACATTTACACGATCAAGTGGCTTATGAGCATTGTCGACAATGGATTCTAGAAATGTAGAGAGCACCGCTAAATACTGAGGAACTTCTTTAATTTGGGAGGCTGTCGCTTCAGCAGCAGATAAAAAGCTTAGTAGGAACCAGCTCATTAGGTGTAGATAAGTTACAAAAGTGCGAGAGAACAACACACTCCGAAGGCACTACCATACTATACCCGAGCGCATCAAGTTCAGAGGCCACTACCAGCTCCGAGTGCACCACCCTCGGCTCACCCTCAAATCGACTGCAAGCGCTTCACTAACTTCGAGAGACGTCCGAGCGAGCCACAAAGTACGAGAAACCCCAAGCGCGAGACACAACCACTCAGCGCGCACCAGTAGCTCCGAGGAGCCGTTTCCATAAGTCAGTAGCTACTATTGTTGCTCGATTTAATTTTTCTTGGTTTTGTGTTTTTTACTTCGTATTTCACTATTTATAAAAACTTTATTCAGCAATAATTTTTGTGCTACAATTGGCGACTGTGGCGTAAGCTCACGTCGTCGTCAGACTCTTGCAGGATCAGCGGAGCTGGGCAAAGTGGCCACACATCCGAGATCAGGTGGCTGCTCTCTAATGGCGACCGAGAGGAGGTCACTGCTTGGCAAATAGGCATCAAGTTTTACAGATAGGAGACCATGCATCTTCGATAATGGCGATCTCCGGTGTGGCGGCGTGTCAAGCTGTGAAACAAAACACTCAAGCCTGGAAAGTGCTGTAACGTCACGGTCACTGCTGCAAAGCCAGCTGGAGTGAACTAGTGCCCCAGATATCAGTTTGACACACAGTTTTTAGGTTACCTAGCCTGATCACTCCAGGTCACTAACGTTGAGAAAATGCCGCGCGCCACCGACTTGAGGCGAACGCTGTTCGATGTCCTAACGCAGATGATCGACGCGTTGGCTTGGTTGATTGGAGACCAAGCTGTATGCAACGCTGGCCAGCACCGTGGATTGCAATGCTGGGCACCGGTGGCCGTTTTTTAGTCAACAGTGGAACTACCACAATCCATGACCATAAATTGTGTCTTTCGAGTTCAAAATCGAAAACTAAAGCTTGATTTCACTAAGAACGAAATTGTGTGCACCACATATTGACCCATTTTGGTCCCACTTGTGTGGGTACGTCAGACAGAACGACAAGACAGACGCCCACCGGTCTGACTATCTGGCTGTTACGTCCCATGGGCCCATTTCCACTTCGGCCTCGCAACCGCAAGTACTCGCCCACCCACGCACTCGATTCCTTTCGCTCTCTGCGCGCGCTCTTGTCTGATCACGACGAGGATCCAGTGATCGGACTCGGAAGCGTTTTGCGTTCGGGTCTTAGCATTGACACATTGACACGATGCGTCGTGTATTGGTTCGCGTGATCACGGCGGCCTGCCTTGTGATGGCGGCGGTGCACGCACAGGAGAGCAGCGCGAGTGGCAGCGGTAGTCTCGACGGCGTTGTGGGGATTGAAATAGTGCAGCAGGAGCAGCAACAGCAGCAACAGCAGCAGCAGCAGCAGCAGCAGCAGGAACAGACCACTACAGCTCCCGCTACGACCGCGCCGAGCACCAGCTTTAACAGCCCGTCGCTCGGACTTGGCTCATTGCTGTCGAACACTGTGACTGGCACGGTGGACTCGGCCACAGACGTCGTGGATCAGGTGACAGACACGACCGCGTCGACGGTACAGGACGTAACGAGCACGGTCGGCACGACCGTGAACGGCGTGACCAAAACGACCGGCTCAGTCGTGAACTCAGCCACTTCGACAGTGGGCGATGTGGCTCAGACAGCGGCGTCGACAGTGGACGAGGTGGCCCAGACAGTGCCTTTCGACTGTGGACAGCGTGACGAAGACAGCGACGTCGACTGTGGGCGACGTGACT